ATAAAATAAATCATATATATATTTGAAGTTTTATTTTTATAAAAATCGGGCGTTACTTTTTGCGGCGACTGTACATAGGTAAAACTAGTTTAGGTTCCATAGTACAAATTTTCAAAAAATCCGGTTTATAGTGATTTATAAACCAGATTTAGAACCAAAACTTCTGAGCTGGTTTATACATAGTGGCCGGTTTACCAATACTATCAGAAAATCTATTCTCATTATAGTAAATATCACATCATAATAAAGACCAGAGGCCTATAGTGATGTTTGAGTTATTGCATTTATTTCTTGATGTCTGTCTTTAATAAATAGAAAGATATGTTAACGACACTTTTTTAACACTAATAAAGGATATTTTCAAAAAACAGCGCATATATATTCACATCTATCAACTAATTGTTTCTTTACGCACAAGGTTGTAATGAGATTCGTTGCCTTGGCTTTCTGGAGTTAGTTCGGAAGGCATTGAAAATTTATACACAGAAAAATTATTGAATTTTTTCTTGGCCGCTATTTTTTGATGTTTTTTAATAGAATGCAGCGATGTCTAATTTTTTTAGTTAATTTATTCTGGAAAATTGTAACTTCTCATTATTATTAAACTTAAAACTAAAAGCCAAAAATTTAAAACTAAAATAAAAATGAAGAGAAAAATATCAAAGTATAAAAATAAAATGTAAAGAGTAAAAGAAGGAAAAATATGGATAATATTCATGGAGAACTACGGCCAATGTCCTTTATAACGACCGCATTGGATTAGCACTTTTGGGCCGATATATAGTGCTTATATTATAAACTTCGGTATATAGGTATAAGCCGAATCTAGTGTATACAGCACCGTTGTAAAGGACTTTCCCTGTACCAGGATTGTCTCATAAAATTATGCATCGATTCTTAGCTAGTTTTTCTTCTATCAATCTAATTTGCTCCGCGAATACTTTTTGCTGCTCCTCGGTCAATTTTTTCAATTCATCTAATTCATTTCTCAGTTTTTGGGTTTCAGTGACATAATTATCGATTCGATCGTTTATAGTTTTTAAGTTTTTCGGTTTATAATTGTTTTTACAAGTTACTAAATGAGCTAACAACCTTTTCCTTGATTCCTCACGAATTGACTGGTTAAATAAAGACAAACGACCTTTCAAGGGAGGGTTATCAACGTAAATGATATTGATTACGCCCAGTTCGTTTTGCAAATTTTGTCGATCTTCCTCGCACTCATCCTCGTCTTCAAACTCAGTAAAATGTGTTCTTACGATCGTGATGTATTCGACAATCTTTGTGTCAGAAAAAATGATTTTTGTTAATAACCTAAAAGCGTGTATTTCTTCTTTGGTAAGTTTCCCAGTTATAACAAAGAATATTTGGTTTAAACCGTCTTTTATGTCGTTACTAGCTTCTGCTATTTTATTAAGAACCTCTTTGTCAGTCAAATGAGTATCTCCGAATCCTACTGTATCGATTACTCTGAATTTAATTACTTTGTCGCCTAGTCTCTCGTCGAATTCATCAACTTGGTTTTCTCTTGTTCCACTCAAAGACCCAGCATTTTCTTTAAAGTTATCTGAATCTGTCAGCACGTTAGCTAAAGTTGATTTTCCACTACCAGTACGGCCAATTAATAAAATGATCCTTTTGTTTTGCCTATTCCAAAGTGTTAAAGCCATTTTCTTTTTGAAAGTTTGCCTGTATCAATAGTGTACTTTTATATAATGTATATTTGTGCTAAAACTTATGAGATTTGGATATGAGTGATCTGGCTTGTTGCAATTGCATTAATACAAAAAACGTCTATAAATATAGGTTGACGACGTACATGTGAAACAAGTGAATGAATGAATTATATGGTTCTGGCGTTCCGTGATTCTCCAAATTAAAATAAATATAGATTAGACGACAAAACACACATGTGAATCAAAACGACACAAAAAAAGTATTTGAATATCAAAGAAGGATTTGTTGAAAAGTATCTGTCACCAAGTTCTCGTAAATTATTTTTAATACTTATTTTGATGCCTTCTTTATGAATAAATACACTTTAGTCTTTTCGCAAGTTGCTTTGCTAAAGATGATTAGATTTCTAATCAGTGTTTAAAATTGACCTGCGCACCGCAGATTTGAGACTGATTGCGGAGATAAAAATCATTAATTTCAATAGCGTGAAAAAAGTAATTTTTAAATGAATTCTAAATCTAAACATTGGACATCATAATCCGTTATTCCATTATTCCATTATTTCGTTTTACAAATACGTAATGATTCGCCATTATCACTATGTAATAAATATGTTCTTTTGATATTGATATGATTCTAAATAACCATTCAGAAGGAAATCGACCAAATAGATCTAGTTAAACCGCGGCTAACCACGGTCAGGTTAACCGCGGTTTAACTGTTTAACCTGTTAACCATCAAACTGTCGGTTAAGCGGTTAATTATTAACCGGTTCCAAACACTACTTGTGACAGACACATATGTGAATAAAGTAAATGAATGAATTATATATTCTGCATTCAAAACGATACAAGAAAGAGTATTCGAATATCAAAGAAGGATTTGTTAAACTAATAAAGTATCTATCGCAAAAGTTTTCGCAAGTTATTTTTTATACTTATTTTAATGCCTTCTTTACACTCGACCCTCATTATAACGAAATGGCTAGGACATAAGAAATTTGCACTTAAAAAACCCCGTTATACTAAATTACTAGTTACGTTATGAAGGATTTTTTATATGTGAAGCAAAAACTTTAAAAATCCGTTATAACGAGAATCAGGCTCTACCTTTGGTAATTCAACAAATGTACTTTTTAATAAATTGTTGATAAATCTCTTCTTTAGCATTTTATTTTTCAATTCAACTTTAAAAACTTCACCAAACGCTCCATTTCTAATTGCTTTTTTTCAAGATACCAATTCGATTTTAATTGGTAGAAAAAATGTTGTATCCGACTGCACGAAGTTATAAAGAACTTTGGTTAAATCACTAGTCATTTTCTCTTTCAAACAAGTAGATAGGAAACAAAGGCAATTTTATTGTCGTACTCCGAAGTACATGTACTAGTAAAGTTAGGTTGTAGTGCTGACCGAAGGCGATCACAGCTGACACAGAACGAAATGGGAAACGATATTTCCTATTTTTGCAACCATCTTGTTTTTTTTATATACACGATGGTAACGGAAAATCAACATTAGCTAATGTGCTAACCAAATCAAATAACTTTACGGAAAGTGCTGGTTGGCAGTATTAGTAAAACACGAATTCAATGAAAAGGAAAAATAGACGCAAATGCCGACCAAGTTATTAAAGTTATTAAATACAGAGTAATTGATACTGTAGGAATCGGTGACTGAGCATGGAGTTCTTTATAAATAGCAGAAGCCTGTCATCGCATCAAAACGGCTTAATTCAAATCTTCTTCGTAACCAGTGGGCGATTCACCAAGAAGAAATAGAGACTTTTGGATTATTACTTCGACACAGATGTCGCTGAACACACCACCATCATAAGAAATAAATTACATGCTGAGAATCTTTATTTTCAATATACCAGAAACAGTGTTGAAGCCTAATAATCTGCATTTTTTATTGGATTAAAGTCCAATGGTCCAAATGGCACAGCTCTTATAAGTCCAAATGGTTCAATATCCAACACTGACCAAAATCATATATGTCGGTAACCCGTCGTTGTTAGGTCGTTCAGCTATCATAACTAGTGAAATCTATGAAGAGTCACGGAAAAGACTCTGGTTTCATTTGGCGATTTATTAAGAAATATATAGATCAGAAAATCTGGACATATGACGGTTACTACAAAAGTCGGAGAATTTGAAAAATCATCTGAAGAAGAGAAAATTACCTCAAGAAGACAAAATATAATACAAACTTTCGAAGCTAAACACATAAAACGAAAGTATTTTTTGAAAAAATGTTTTTTATTTGGTTGCACGAAGTCATAAAGAACGTTAGAAATGATCGTTAATACATAACCAATGATAACGAACCATGAAACAAAGGGCATCTATTTGGGGCTGGGTTAGTGCGATCACAATTAACACGCATCATTATGCATAATTTCATGGGATCCGATATTTCCTATTTTTGATACCTTCTTGTTTTTTTTATGTACATATACATGTATATGGGGACAACCAAGCAAATTATATGTACAGTTCAGTATATATAATTTGCTGGGCTTTTACTGACGGCCCCCATTTACAGTATATATACATAGGGTATTCTTTCACTTCAAAAATAAAAATTACCTGATAGTATGACCGATATAAGAAAATCATATAATTTGGCCGTACCGGTAACGGAAAATCAACAGTAGCTAATGTGTTAACCAAGTCAAATAACTATTTTACGGAAAGTGCTGGCAGTATTAATGAAACACGAGAAAATTCAAATAAAAGAATTCGAAGAAAAAATAAACGCAAATGGCGACCAAATTATTAAATACAAAGTAATCGATACTGTAGGAATCGGTGACACGCGTTTAATTGAGCAAGGAGTTCTTTATAAAATAGCAGAAGCCTGTCATCACATCAAAAACGGCTTAAATCAAATATTATTCGTAACGATTCACTAAGAAGAAATAGATACTTTTGGGTTATTGAAATCCGTCATTTTCGACGCAGATGTTGCCAAATACACCACCATCGTAAGAACTAATTTTCCTGAATTCGAAGACGAGCTTAAATACCAGCAAGACCAACAAAAATTGCGCGCTGAGAATCCTTCTATTTTCAAAATACTTAGCGCCATCAGGATCATATATACCGATAACCCGCCATTGTTAGGCCGTACCGCCTCTGTAAATCAGGAAATCCGTAAAGATTTAAGAAAAAGGCTTTTAGTTCACTTGGCGACCTGTCAAGGAACTTATAGACCGCAAAACTTGGACACTATGAATGATCGTGTCGGTAGTTATATGACGGAAAACGAAAAGGTACTACAAGAGTTGAAGAATTTGAAAAAATTATCTGAACAACAGAAAAAATTATCTCAAGAAGAAAAGAAGAGATTAATTGACCAAATACAATCTCTTGAGGAAAAAAGCGCGCAATTACGAGTGCAAAAGTATTCATTTGATGGTTTAACATTTTTTTGATAATGTACATGTAGGGTTAAATTAAAACGAACTAATAGAGTTCTGTTTAGAACCGATAGTTTACCGGTTTGAGCCAATGATAGAAACAGTTCCAATAAACCAGTTTCATAAATCAAGTTCAGGAACTGGTTCCTAAATCAATATACCTTCGAGCTACCACCTCGAACTAGTTTGCCACTCGAATATAACTTTAAAAAAGTTGATTACATAACTAGAAAGCTTTTTGACAGTACAGCTCTTAAATAATAAGTTACATAAAAATTGATCACGTTTTAAAACTAGTTTGGTTTCTGGTTTATCCAGTTTGAACCAGTTAACCCTATGCACATTAACAAAGAATTTTATTTCTGGTCTTAAACCTTCTATGTACAATAAGACCTTATGATGTATCGATATGTACCAATTTGAAATAGGAAACAGCATTTCCTATATCGATATCGGTTTTGTGTTCACTCCGTCTATATAAAAACAGTACATTCTTCCAAAAAAACTTTTAAGTCAACATGATTGATATAAGAAATATCATATTAATTGGCCGTACAGGAAACGGGAAATCAACGCTAGCTAACGTGCTAACCAATTCTGATGAATTTACGGAAAGTGCTGGTAGTATTAGTGAAGCACGAGGAATTCAAATAAAAGAATTCGAAGAAAGAATAGACCTAAGCGACGACCAAGTAATTAAATACAGAGTAATCGATACTGTAGGAATCGGTGACACCCGTCTAACTAATCAAGGAGTTCTTTATAGACTAGCAGAAGCAGCTATCATATCAAAGAAGGCTTAAATCAAATCTTGTTCGTAACCAACGGACGATTCACGAAAGAAGAAATAAATACTTTTGGGTTGTTAAGATCCGTCATTTTCGACACAAAGGTCGCCGCATACACCACTATCGTAAGAACTAATTTTCCTGAATTCGAAGACCAAGATGAATGCGATAAAGATCAACTAAATTTACAGAATGAGAATGATGCTATTTTCAAAATACTTCGCGCGAGCAGGGTTATATATATCGATAATCCGCCGTTAAAAGGTCGTTCAGTCAACACAAACCGTGAAATTCGTGAAGAGTCCCGGAGAATACTCTTGACGCATTTGGCAACCTGTCAAGGGATTTATAGACCTGAAAATCTGGACGATATGAATGATCGGATTGGTAGTTATATGACGGAAAATGAAAGAATACTGCAAGAGTTGGAGAATTTTAAAAAAAGGTCGGAAGATGAGAAAAGATTATCTGCAGAAGAAAAGAGTAAACTAAATGACAAAATACGATCTCTTGAAGCTCAAAGTAAAAATTTACAGGAACAGATCTCACACCAAGCAGAACCTTCGGGTGTATGCATGATTTTATAGGAGAATACCAAACTTATTATTTATTTCTCACTAATTACTATTTCAATATTTTTTATTATATTGATCAATTTCATATCTTAGTTTCAAACAAATCCTTATTTGAATAATATCACCGTTTGATCTTTAAAATACTCTTTCTTGTATCCAAAATCGATTGCTTGAAACATATAATAGTGTTATTTGTACTGAATTGACCTCTATTGCAGAACATTCACTTTTTTTTGTACGTATTTCTTTGCAATCTAGAGATCAGAAAAGGAAAGTTCTTTTTGTATTCAATATGACATATTTTTATATTCCATAATGATCTAGTTAATAAACGAAATGTACTATTCAGCAGGCACATAAACTTTCAACTAGTGTTCCTATAAACTGAACCAAACTGGACTTTTGAGTCTGGTTCAAAATTTGAATTGAACTTGAACTGGATTTTGGCTTGAGTTCAAGAAAAGTTCAAAGTTTAAACTGAATTATTATATGAGTTTGAGTCTGTTTTGAGTTTGATTTGAGATCAGTATATATTATATATTGATTTGTAACTCAAAACATAAACTACAACTTTATTTATAAGTACAAATTATAATATGAATATATGTTCATGTTTTGTCATGGATCATATGATTTTATAAGATCGCAAGTCATGTGTTAATGCAATTTACTAAATTATTTTAGCAATCACCACTAACAAATTAATTATTTAAAAATATGCAACAGATTCAGATTCTTGATAATATTGTTACTGTTTCTGTTAATTTTATTATCTTTCAAATATAGATCATATGTTTTTCACATATTTCAATCAAATAAAACTAAGTATTCATTTTTTTCTTTTATTGATTAACTTTTAATAAAAATATCTTCTTCTTTTATTAAATTTCTAAATAATATTAACTAACTTCACAATATAATAATGAGAGATTAATTATATTAAATAGAAGATGTCACTTATTATAAACAAGAGATCTTTAAAAATAAAAGAATACAAATAAGAAAGTAAAAAGAGTAATTAATGCTTGACTAAAAAACTCCAACTCAAGACTTATAATATGACTCACTTCTAAAAAGATTTTGTTAAAAGAAAATTAAAGTAATAAAAGATTAAAAATAAATTAAAGTGAATAAATAATTTAAAATCTGAAAGATTAGAAGATTGTTTTTCTAAGCTAAGATATATATTATATTTATATAAGTTATTATTACTTGATCTTTAAATTTTAAAGCTATTTTTGATTAATATTATGATTACAAAAAGTGCTTATTTAATGGTTATATATTGCTCATTCACTTGATGATTATATATCACTTACTCTAATATTATATAAATTTCACTATTAATATCAATCAAATTAAGTTATAGTAATTATTATAAGTATTCAGAATTTAGTTTTTTTTAGGTACAACTTCACAAAAATTCATTCAAAATATATGAAATTACATATATATAAAATATATAATATGGAAAACAAGTTTATCTAATATCACAAATACACTTAAATTAATAAAATTTTGCATAAATTTATATTAAAAATTGTGAATTAGAATATTTAAAAATTAAGAAGAATAATAAGATTCTAAAAAAAATATTTCCACTAATTAATTTTGCAAATATTTTTAAGAAATATATTTTTATAACTTAAAGAATATATCTATCATTTTTTAATTGAATTTATTTTATTATTATTTCATAATGATCAATTAAAAAAAGATATAATTTTGTTAAATTTCTTAATAAATCATAGTAAAAATTGATTTTTTTTATTTTTACTATAATTTATTAAGAAATTTAACAAAATTATATCTTTTTTAATTGATAATTATAAAATAATGATAAAATAAATTCAATTAAAAAATAATAAATATATTTTTTAAGTTATAAAAATATATTTCTTAAAAATATTTGCAAAATTGATTAGTGAAAATATTTTTTTAGAATTTTGTTATCCTTCTTAATTTTTAAATATTCCAATTCACAACTTTTAGTATAAATTTATGCAAAATTTAAGTATATTTGTGATATTATATAAACTTATTTTTTATATTATATATTTTATATATATGAAATAAAAATAAAATAGTATGAAATATAATAAAATAGAATAAAATAATATGAGTAAAATGTGAATAATATGAAATAAATATGAATATAATTTATAAATTACATAAAAATTGATTATTCAATAAAAACAAATTATGAAAAATTATATGATATATTAAAATTCATATCATAATAATATTGCTGGCTTTTTTAGAAAATAATAATCTTCTATTTTTAAATTATTATATTTAAGGTTGCTTGCCAAAATCTCTTAGTGACTGTCTAAATTCTGTCAAAATTATAATAAACTATTAGTAAATAAC